GTCACAAAGAAAGTACGTCCTGGATATGCTTTCAGAAACTTAGATGTTAGGATGCTGAAACAGTGATTCTCCAATGGATATGAATTCAAAACTACTACTAGATCAGGGGGAGCTTCTTGAAGATATTGGACAGTATAGAAAATTGATGGAAAAATTGAATTATCTGACGGTGACCAGATCTGACATCACATTCACGGTCAGTGTTGTGAGTCAGTTCTTGTCCGCACCAAGAACTAACTCACTTGGATGCAGTAATGAGAATTGAGGTACTTGAAGAAGGCTCCAGGACGAGTAATTCTCTACTCAGATTAAGGACACACCAGAGTTGCAGGTTTCTCTGATGCAGATTGGGCTGGATGTCCTTTTGGCTGGATATTGTGTCTTTCTCGGAGAAAATCTAGTGTCATGGAAAAATAAGAAGCAAAGTGTTGTATCTCGATCCAGTACAGAATCAGAATACAAAGCTATGGCAAATGTGACACTAGAGATGGTTTGGATCAGAGACCTATTGACAGAAATTTGTCTCCCTACAGAATGTCCCATGGATCTATGTGTCGACAATAAAGCAGCAATTTACATTGCTGAGAATCCCGTGTTTCATGAAAGAACCAAGCACATTCAAGTCGACTGTCATGTAGTTCGCAAGAAGCTCGAGGATAAAATCATCATGATAAAACATGTATCGATAGTAGATCAGTTGACAGACATTTTTACAAAACCACTTGGTCGAACATGGGTTGACTTTATTTGTGACAAGTTAGGCATGCATGAAATATATGCTCTAGCTTGATGGGGAGTGTTAGAAGAAGAGAGTATTAGTTTAGTCTCACATTGCTTGTGAGACTAACTTGTAACTAATCCATCTCTATAAATAAAGTATAGAGTGAGGGGATAACTTTCTAATAATCTCTTTTCTCATATATATATATATATATATATGTGTATGTATGTATGTATGTATGTATGTATGTATGTCTGTCTAGCTTGTTATACATAAGAACAAAACAACTAGATAAATGAACTTTAATGAAGCAATCAGAGATAACTCAAGCACAAGATGAGCGTAAATAAAGTTATATAAAGATCACAAAATCCTCACTTTATGTGATTAGTAATAGACAGTTGAAGCAGTAGTAGGAGATTCTTAGACTTAGTAATCAAGTCATATAAATCCATATTGGGGCCAACTAAAACCCTAGGTAGGTTTTCTGGTCAAAATCGTAGGCAAGTCAGCTAATAGAAATCCGAGACAGGTTGCCAAAAGAATTAATGTCCGGAATCAAATACTTTTTGTATCCAACCATTAGAAAATAAAAGAGGGGGTATTGCTGACAATAAGCAGTACTGTGAGGAATGGTAGCAACTTTTTTGCCTTTTTTTCTTGAGGTTAGGATTTTTGGATCGAAGTCAAAGATGTTGAAGCTAAAGTTGTCAAAACCGCCAAGGGGAAGTATGGAGAGTGATAAAACCCCTCAGCGACCCTAAGGTCGAAGAAGAAGAAAGATGTCTCTCTAAGATCAAGAGCCTTGATCAAGAAGGCTCTGATACCGTGTCAAAGAAAAGAAACCAAGATGATTATATTATAGATGCCTTACATCTTTAAATATAGTAAAGGAAACTTGGCGTGTAAATTTAAAGAAAATTGCTAAACAAGAAATACCATAAATAACTACCTAGCTAATCTACCAAATTTGAATGTATGGTCAATAAGTTAACATTCTCAGAATAGTCTATTTCTTTTTAGGCCTTTCTGTGTATTTACCCTTTAAATCTTCCATCTTTACAAAATTACACCCCCAAATCTTGATATTTGCAAAGTTACCTCCAAATCCTCAACAGTGTAAATTTCTACCCCTACATAACCTTTAAGGAATATACCAGGTATATCCCCCTTAGTTCTGTCAGATATTATAAGAATGACTAATTTACCATTTTAGTAATTAAGTAATCCTAATAATCATTACCCAAAAGAAAATTGACTTTTCCTTTCGTGTAAACCCAAAAAATCCATCTCCCTTTTTATCTCTCCCAATTCTCCATCTTCTGCTGTAGTGCTTATGCTTCCTTAAAAGAATCGACCACAGTAGTGGATCAAAATGTTTATCTTCTGCTGTAGTGCTGTAGTGCTTCATGCTAAACTATTCACATGCCATGGAGGGGAGAATTGAGATAGGAAGTTCCATGGATGTCTAAGACTTATCACAAAGTACAAAACTCACTTTCAAAAGCCCTCAGGTTTTTAATTCCCAAACAAGAGCTAATTAGTGCTCATGATTTTTCCTTGTTTGGCTTCATGGGCTGATGATGAGGAGAAGATGGTTAAACCCACTCCTTCCATTTTCACTCACCACGAGCATGAGGAAGAGCTTGCCATAGGTCTCCTAAAGGTGCTCTGAATGAAAATCAGTAGAGGGGCCTAACCTAACAAAGGAAGAGACTAATGGATGAAGAACGAAAAAGTAAATTCAACAGTCAAATATTTGGAGCTTGACACCGTTAAGGGTGTGGCATGGGGTCGTGAGGAATTGGGGTTTGATCTTGCAGATACCAAGATTTGGGGGGTGCACATATGGAAAACTTGATGGTAAATATGCGAAAAATCTTCTTTTTAATCATTTTAGTTCTGTGGATGAACATTCAACCATGCTGGTATGAATTCATCTGATTTTGTTATACTTGGTAAATGAGATAGGTTTGCTATTGTCTATGCTAGACTTGAATCCCTATACTATGTCAACCAAAGCTATAAGCTTCCTAGGGGATAACATAAAGTATGACATGCGTTTTGGCAGATGTACTTGTATTTAAATCTGGATCAAACAAGATGAACATTACAATGGAAAGGAGCTAAGAAAAAAGTTTGCAATTTATTGATTACATTCCACTTTGTTTCTTTGTAAGAATGGTTGGCATTTGTTTCTTTTGTAAGAATGGTTGAAATCGTCGGTTGGGTTGGTTTTGACCAAATTTGGCAAAACCAAACAGAAGTGTCATAGATTTTGAAGTGAACTGGATAATCATTCGGTATGATCTGTTCTGTTTGGGCTTTGACCCATTTAGTTAAGAAAACAAGCTATTATAGCCCACAAAAAAAAACATATGGATCCAGTGATGGTGAAAGGAAGCTGTAAAGCAAGGGATTTGTGAAAGAACAATGTAGATCAACTGAAGTAACAAAACATTGATGAAGAGAGAGAAAACTTTTTGGGCCAAACTAAACCAAAGAAAGAATGTGGGATTTGGAGAATGCCACACTATAACGGGCCGCATGTGGTGCCTCCAAGCTATAAGAGACAAGCCGGACGCCCACGATCAGTATGCTTAAAAGGTACTATGGATGAAGGTCGGGAAGGAGCTCCGAAAAAAAATAGATGTGGATATTGCAGACAAGCCGGGCATAGAAGATCTCATTGCCCGACCAATCCAAATAGATAGCAATTAATGGGTACAATTTTATACATTTGTAATTTCATTCTAACTCATTTATAGATCAATGCTTATAAAAAACTCAAACAATGCTTATAAATCAATGCTTATAGTAAAATCAATTTTTTTCTAACTCAATTATAGATCAATTAATGGATCATCGTTATATGTGCAGATATTTCAGTTATGGAGGCGGGTCCATTGACACGTGATGTTCTTTATGACCAAGAGCGCCACCGATCCGCGAAGATAGACGCTGGGGAGGTAAAGTGCAGTTTTATTATTTTCAATTATATATAAATTTCAATGTAGTTGATTGTTACTGAACATTTGCACTGTTTACTACATGCAGGCCCCGAGTATTATTATTTCAAACCGAGCCTATCCTACAATATTTCTAAACCAAACCGAATGGTTAAACTTCTGTCAGTTTAATGGGCTTAGACAGATAGACACCCAGTCCTATTGGCAAGTATTCTTGACATGACTTTTACAGGGACTAGCTGATAATGTGTAGTTATAGTAATTCTTATCTTGATTTACTAGCTGGAGAGTTCTGTCTTTTACGATGTTAAGTATGTCTTGTATGTGTAACTGCTAGTACTTATTGGCCCTGTCCTCAAAGTGCCATTAATTTTTTTCATTTTTTTCATTTTTTTCAAGTAGGACTGCTATAATGCTCGTAAGTTGCAATTAGATGGTTACAAGATGTTTGTTATGATGTTAAGGGTGCTTATGTCCATTTCGCATGGTAGCCGCTCAGATTACATGATTTATGTTTAAGATAATCAAAAGTACATACTTGGAAACTCTGCCATTTTACGTGTTGGAGTTAAAGAGTAACTAATAGTACTTCATTAGCTGTCATTTATTTGTCCTTAAAGCACTACTAATTTGTTTATCTATTTCAAGTAGGACTGTCATAATGCGCCTAAGTTGCAGCTAGACCACTCAAGATATTTGATTTGATGTTAAGGGTGCATGATAAACATCAATACACCAATTTATTTAAGATAATCAAAATCACAGGCTTGTGTTGGTTTCTACAGAAAACATTATCTTGTTGAATATTTGATGTCAAACAAGAGTGCAATACTGTTGTATTTGCATATTTCTTCTTTGAGATGTGTTTTATTTCTTTTTATTTGTTCTTTCCTTTTTTTTCTCTTTCTTTTTCATGGTGTTAGTGAACAGTTCTGGACACTTCATCTTCTCAAGCATAACTACATTTTCCACTTGTAATATAATCTAAAGTGGCTAACTGGAATAAATTAATTTCGTCGATATCGTCTTCCATCTTAATACGCAGTCAGCCCAGTGTTCCTTCTGACTTTTTTATGAGTGCATTACCCTATTTCTGATGTCTGTTGTGATCATTTAAGTTCAATCATGGATTGATTATTTTGAAACAGTTACGGCTCCTTTGAATTAATTTTTATGACAGGAATGATACATTAGCATTGTCCGTTTCCTGAAATATAAAATAATATCCCAAGTCTTTTGAGGAACAATTAGCTGGAGAAACAAGTTTATGTCTATTAAACTTATGTTTATCTATTCTTGTACTCTTTTAGGCAATCCCACATGCAATAGCTTTGGTCAAAGCAGCAGATAAAAAGAGCCCCAGAGAAGCTGTAGAGTTCATATTACAATTGCTAAAGGTAATGGTAGCTATCTGTCTTGTTAACATATTTCTGCACTTTCATAATAATTGTGTTCCAGCCTTTCACATATTCAATGTGTTTTTAGAGCAATGCTCTGATGGTAATTATTTGTTAGATTTGCAGAATTTAATCAGAACTGTCTCCTCTAAAAACCTCCTTCCTCTAATGATTCTTCCTTTTATTGACAGTTTGAACATAATTAATTTTTAGAGGACAACCCAGAGATTTTTAAGGGTTCACGATCATGTAATTTGGATGGACTTAAACTGTCCCACTTACATTGGTTACATTAAGAATATGTTAGTCGAGGGGTTATCTGAAACTAACTGTGTATTACAGAATCTTAATGCAATTTTACCACTTCTAATTTAGTTTTTTTCAGAAATTACTCTTTTTAGTTAAATTTCAACTTGTGTACTTGGTCATAAACTTATTTGCTTTCTCTGGTTTCAGTACAATGATAACAATGGGAACCCCTACTCAGATGTTTTTTGGCTTTGCGCACTGGTTCAGTCTGTGGGCGAGCTTGAATTTGGTCAACAGGTTTGAATGGCTGCCTTAGCTGATAATTTTGCAAGAGTCGTGTTTTCTGTCTTGGTGAATTTTACAGCTGTTTCGTTGGTTTACTGTCTGGTATCACTTGAACCAGAGAGGATGGCTGATATACTTGGATTTGGAACTCATATCACCGAACTTAGTTTCTAATGGCCAGAAGGAGAGGGCAAAATAAATTCTGTGTATGCATAAAGAAACCAGGAGAGAGTATCAACTTGAGTTACATAAAGATTTAAAACCCTACATGCTTTAGTTTTTTCAACCACAATCCTAGTTCCCTTGAGTATTTTCAGACCCCATGGATCTGGTAAAGTGAGCTATTCAAAACCATCTATTTGTGGTCAGTTGGTGCCTGTAAATATAGTCTTAAGTAAATTTTTTTTGTTCATTGTCATTAAAACATTGTAGTTTGTTAACCTGAATTTCCATATTTTCATTAGTGGAATCAAACTTTCTCCTATTTGCATTGGAGCAGATAGCTATTGTTTTTTAATCGTGTAACTGCTCTGAGTTCGTTGAGATCTAAAACCCATACGTACTTAAACTTTTGAAACCACAGTCGTACAAAATTCTAGTTCGCTTGAGTACTTCCAGACCCCATGGATCTGGCAAAGTTGGCTATTCAAAACCATATTTTTGTGGTCAGTTTATGCAAGTAAGAATAGTCTAGATTTGTTTTTTTTTCGAAGTAATTGAAATATTGTAGTTTGTTAACGTGGATTTCCATATTTTAATAGGTGGGAATTGAACGTTCTTCTGTGTGCAATTTCCATATTTTAGTTGATGGGAATTTAACATTCTTCTGTGTGCATTGAAGCAGATAGCTATTTCTTTCTAGTCGTGTAACTGCTCTTAGACTGTTTTGTCAGTGTGGATATTTACAGATAGGTTTCAAGCTTAAATTTACGATTTCTAATCACATTGTAAATCCAGACGTATAGTGCAAGACACATGGTATGGTGTACAGCTACTGGAATTGCCGAAGATCTTTACATCTGGATATTCTTAGCTTCAATAGGGACTTTTATTTTTGACATAAAGGTGTGTTTACCATGTTCAGTGTGTTCAATAAATTACAAATTATAATTTGATCTGTAGGGATTTTTAGCACAAGTTGCCCACTGGTTTGCAGCTAATCTAGAAACTTGTGAACTGGCAGTCCTGTAATCTGTGATAACTCTTTTGGAATGGTGGGGAAATTTAGAAGAAGAATGCTTCTGAAAGAGTCGATGTGTGTAGGGAAATCAGCCAGTAAGCAGTTCTTAGTCTATGCTGTAGGGTTTTAACTTTTACAAATTTACAGCATCCCATATCCGCACCTGCTCCCATATCTCTTCAACATAGGATAGAGCAACCTCTGTGCTTTCAATCTGAAAGGGTAAGTGTACAGTTTAAATCTTGACAAAAAAGGTAATGAAAAAGCGCAGGATTAACATTTTTTTGACCTTTTAGGTTTATGTTTTCTTCTGCCTTTTTAATATGCAACAAAACTCTGTTGCAATGTTGTGATGAGTGCTAGCAGTTGGCCCTAACAGCCCAAGTACTATGGATGCAATATACCATAGTTGCG